GGGGGGGAATCAGCTTTTCGAAATGCAAAAGAAGATTAAGCCAAAGGATGATCCAGCCTACATCAAAACAATCAAAAATAAAAGTAAGAGAAAATACTGATTTTTAATATACTCCCTCCGTTCATTTTTAGTTGTTCACTTTTGATTTTGCACACCCTTTAAGAAAAAATAAATAAAATATATATTTTATAATTTTACCCGTGATAATGATAGTATTTTCAAAAGTCTTGAAAATAATCTGGGGGATAAGAAGTTAATAATAAGAGTAAAATAGTAAAAAAAAAAAAAAGATTATCTTTCTCATGATTTAATATAGTAGACAAATAAAAATAAAAATATATTTTTAGTATAGTTGACAAGTAGAATAAACGGAGGGAGTACTATAGTTTCAATCAAGAAAGGACAGCCACAAGTATAAGTTTCTTTAAAAAGGAGAGGAAGGGTGGTGGCTTGTAATTATAATATAAACAAAGGTATTATGCTGTCTTTATCAATGGTTTTAATTTCGTACATGAACAGTCCAAGATGCTTTTCAATATGGATTGATCGAAAACTGAGGGCCAATGAGCTGTTACGTTCAATTATAGTAGTGAGTGGGTACGTAATGGTGGACTTGGTGCTTTACCACTTGATAAAAGAAAAATGAGTTTTGTGATTTAACAAACCAAAAGCACCAATTACGCATTAATTTATCATATCTTCTGATAATACTATACAGAAATTAATTAAGTTTCCTGCTTTCGTTTTTCTAAATTATCTTCTACTATTTAAATTATTTTGGGCGGCTAAGCTAACAACTTTGCTGAATTTGTTCAAGAAATGCTGGACGTCCTTGTTTGTTTGGACATTCTAAAAGGAATATTAGCATTTTTTAAGCTTTATTAAACCATTTTCACAATCTATGAAATTTTCCAGTTTTGGTAAGAAGAACTAATGAAGAACCGTTTGTGAAAAGGTAATTGTAATGTTACTTTCGCCATATATGTTTCTCAGATTACATGAATGGCTTCTAATTTATCTTTTTAGTCTCATTTTAAAAAAATCATATTGACAAGCATTTTCGTGGGAAAATATGTGAAGGTATTAGATACTATTGGGATGAAAAACCAGTTAGATGAAAGTACTAAATCAATTGACCCTCCAGAGTGAATACTAATACCACTTAAAGACAGATAGTCAATGCTGCTCCACAAGCGCTTAAAGAAATGGTACAAAATAACCCGTTACGATTTGAATAGAAGAAAATAACTCTACAAGATCTTCTTTGTTACATTATCGATCTCCAATGCGTTAAGATAAATACCTTAGTGAGTATTGATAATTAAAAAAGTATGATTAAATGTTTACAGAACCAAGTCCTCAATGTAGTTGCTTAACTGTTTCGAAGAACCATCTCCTTAGGAGAAAGAATCAGCTCCTCCTGAGTGATACTTGTACGTCTGTAAAAGACACTAACTTTATCTTAAAGTTACCAAGGTTCGGGTTTGGTGGAAGATGTCTACTATAAGTAATAAGGGTCGTTGCTTAAGAAGATATGGATAATTCAGTTACAGACTAAAGTCCAAAAGCTTATGGAATCCTTAGAACAGTAGGAGTCCTATCAAAGAGGAAGCTGGCTATGAATAGGACTCCTAGAAGATCTCAAGTTGTGTTTTAAATAGGATCGACTTTGGATTTCTAACTATCCTTTTACATATCAACTAAAGAGTCATAAGTTGTTTACTTGTATTGAGTACTTGTCTTGTATTCTTCCCGAGTCAGTCTAGTGAATGTGTTTTAGGTAATTGAGTTGTAATCAAGTGTCATAAACAATCAGTGAGTTGTGTGAGTATTTTGCTTTACAAGTTAGAGTAACTTGTGAATCAAATAGGAGTAGTAGGAGTACTGGAGAGTATTTGATTACAGTCTTATAATTGATACATTTGGCTCAGTGTTCTAGTAGAGTTAGAGCTGAAAATCCTACGTGGTAGGTTTTGTTTTTTTTACCTTTTGAGTCGGGTGATTTTTCATGTAAAAATTATTGTGTTCATTTTATTGCTTGTTTGCTTTACCCTTAAGGAACACGGTGAAGAACCAAGTTCTTTAGTAATTCATATGGACACTCAAACTAACATATCTCATGTGAAAAGAGTCATATATATCTAAAGCAATGGTAGTAATAGCGCATATAACTACCTACACGTACGCTTGTATAACACTAACTTGGTTAGCCCTTCTTACTGTAGAAATCCACCATTGTTGAGTGGAAGAAGCTCACTGAGAGAATCGAAGAAGAACTATTACAGCTGTACAAATGAATTAATTACGTGTTAATTTCTACACCCCCCTCCTTCAAGCTAGGTGTAGTAAAAATGTTCAGAACACCTAGCTTGGACATCAAATGATAGTGTTGAGTAGTTCCTAGTCCTTTTGTGAGCAAATCTTCTTCCTGTTCTTCCGTTGGCACATATGTTGGATGTATCAATCCATGTTGCACCTTTTCCCTCACGAAATGGCAATCTATCTCTATATGTTTCGTTCGTTCATGAAACACTAGGATGTTAGCTATCTGCATGGCTGTTTTACTGTCTGTATGAAGTTGAATTGGAGTAGCAACCTTTATTCCCAATTCTCTGAACATTCCAACCAACCATATCAACTCAGACACAGTCAAGGCCATGCTTCTATACTCAGATTCTGCTGAACTCCTTTGCATTGTGGCTTGCTTCTTAGATTTCCAAGATATTAGTGATCCAACAAACTTCACAAGGTACCCAGTGACTGATTTTCTGGAGTTAGGACAACTTTCTCAGTCTGAATCACAATGTGCACTAAGAGTCATGTCCCCAATTGCGCTCATAAGAATCCCAAGCCCTGGCTCATTCTTCACATATCTGACTACCCTGTATGCTGCTTCAAGATGAGACTGCTTGGGAGCTTGCATAAATTGACTTAGAGTCTGCACACTATAAGCAATATTGGGTCTTGTCAAGGTCAAGTATAAAAGCTTTCCAATCAACTTCTGATAGCTCCTCACATCTGCTAGTGTTGGATCATTGTCCAGATGACAATGTTCATCATACTCAACAATTGTAAGTTGTTTATTTTGTTCCATTGTTGTAATAGTAGGCTTGGCACCAGACAGTCCCAATTCTGCTGTAACTTCTAGAGCATACTTCCTTTGGCATAAAAGAATTCCTTTTGCAGACCTGCAAACCTCAATGCCCAGAAAATATTTCAAGTTTCCTAGGTCTTTAATCTTGAAAGCCTTGTGTAGTGTGATCTTTGCTTCTTGAATCATTGTAGTGTCATTGCATGTGATTAGAAGGTCATCAATATATACAAGTATAATAACCTGTCTTCCATTCTCCTCTTTGATGAACAAGGAGTGATCATGTTTGCTTTGTATAAAACGTGCTACTAATAGAGCTTCTGTGAGTTTCAGGTTATATTGTCTTGATGCTTGCTTAAGTCCATATAGTCATTTAAGCAGTCTGCAACCCTTAGAAATCCCCCCTTGGCTGCTGAAACCAGGTGGCAATCGCATGTAAACTTCTTCTTCAAGATCACCTTGAAGAAATGCATTGTAAACATCCATTTGGAAAAGAGGCCATTGATGCAGAGTAGCCAATGTAATGACTGACCTCACTGTGACCATTTTGACAACTGGAGAAAAGGTCTCCTAATAATCTAGACCTTCTTGTTGGCTGTAACCCTTGGCAACAAATCTTGCCTTGAATCTCTGAACTTCTCCATTGGATCTGTACTTAATTTTGTATATCCATTTGCACCCAATGGGCACCTTACCCGTAGGAATATCAACTATCTCCCAAGTATTGTTCAGCACCAAGGCATCCATTTATGTCTTCATGGCTTCAACCCATCTTGGGTCCTTCATGGCTTCTGTGTATGATGTAGGTTCTATTTCTTGTGAGGTAGCAGTTAAGTAAGATTGATAAGTAGCTGACAAGGCACTATAGTTCACATAGTGGGATATTGGATATGTACAGGTGGATGATGATGCTCCATTGATTGGGCACACATTGTATTACATCCAAAGAGGTGGCTTGGAACCTCTGTTGGATCTTCTGAGTTGTACAGCTTGAACTTCCTCAGTGACTTCATTAGCTGGTGTCTGCATATTATGATCAACCTCTGCATCTGATAGTTGTTCACCATGATCTGGATCAGCTCTTGTGAAATTGTTCTCTTGTTGTATCACTTCATGACCATGCTCAATAGCTTGGTTGACTGCATCATATCCTTCTCCTAACATATATAGTTGTTGTTGATACAAAGAGTAGTCTTCCTCTTTTGATTTCAGCTCTAAGAACATAGGATCTTGTTGTGTATCATCCTTCCCCAGTTGAAAAGGAAAAATGTCTTTCTTGAATATGACATCTCTACTAACAAAGAACTTCATTCTCCTTAAGTCATACAGTTTGTATCCCTTCTGAGATACTGAGTATCCCATATGAACAGCAGTGATGGCTCTAGAAGAAAATTTGTCCCCCTTTTCTGTCACTGTAGCAAAACACAGACAACCAATAGTTCTTAGGTATGTCATATTAGGTACTCTCTTATGAAAAACCTCATATGGAGATTTCCCTGCTAGAACTGAAGAAGGCAGTCGATTAATAAGATATGTTGCAGCCAGTACACAATCTCCCCAGAATTGCAAAGGAATGCTACCTTGAAATAGCTGAAATCTATATCTATTACAACTACCTAAGCTTTAAATTACCCAAAACCTGGTGTCACAGTGTCACATACCGTCTAAGATTGCTACATACAAAGTCTAAAGAAATAACAGTACACTGTTTCTGAATAAAAGGAAAATGAAATCTCAGATCCCTCGCCACCTCTAGGACATGCCTATGTCTTCTTTCCACTACTCCATTCTGCGGTGGAGTATGTGGACAGCTGCTTTGATGCAAAATACCATTATCTATCAAATAATCTTGACATTCATAACTAAAGAACTCTGCACCATTGTCAGTTCTTAGCACTTTAACATTCTTGCAAAACTGTGTATATACCATTTTAAGAAAGGATTTTAACACAACAACAGTATCATTTTTCAATTTCATTAGAAAAATCCAAATTATCTTGGAGTGATCATCAACAAGAGTCAGAAAATATCTATTTCCATTATATGTAGGCACTCTATATGGACCCCAAATGTCTACATGAATCAAATGAAATATTTCTTCAGCTCTATTGCTACTTAAAGGAAATGGTTTCCTTGTATGCCTAGCCAAAGGACACACAGTACAATTATTGAGTTCACAATCAGAAAACTTCTTGCCTTTAAGGAAATCTAACTGCTTTATGACTTTAATTGGCACATGCCCAAGCCTTCTATGCTAAGTAGTGAAGTCTGCTTGCATTCCTTCTACAAGACAACTACTGATCCTTTGTGCCATTTTATTTCTGTTGCACCCTTTAGGAATCAGTAGATAGAGACCACCCTTCTCCTTACCAATCCCCTTCACTTTCCCAGTGTATAGGTCCTGAAATACACAAAATATTTGGAAAAAACTAACTGAGCATTGCAGCTCCTTAGTTAATTTTGACACAGACAACAAGTTGTATTTAAAGTCAGGCACACACAACACATCATGTATCATACCATAATTTGTAAGTTTGTAACTTCCTTTGCAAATGATAGGCATTGTCTTACCATTTGGGAGGTTCACATTACCTTTACTTGAGTCAGGTAATCCAGTCATTGTTTTCAACATATCACTATTAGATGCCAAATGGTCAGTGGCACCAGTATCTACAATCCAGTAATCAAACAGATCCTCTAGAGATTGAGAATTAGCATTACCAACCATATTTGCTACATGTTCCTCTTATTTGTCCTTGCTTATCATCTTCATGATCTGGTTGTATTGCTCATCAGTAAAGAAGTTGATCATTCCTTGACTCATCCTTGCATTATCCTGATTTGCAACAGCATTTTTGCTAGAACTGCTATCACTCATAGCCATGTTAGCTTGCCTATACTGCTGTGATTTCTTCCCCTTGAAACCAGATGGATATCCAACATTGTAACATATATCTCTTGTATGTCCTTTCTTTTGACAATACTCACAGTATAAATTATTGAACCTCTTAAACTTTGACTGACTATCTCTAGAACTCATAAGAGCATTAGAATCATTTACTTTATTTGTCACATTAGCATATGAATTATTCTCAAATACTCTTTTCTGATTTTCTTTATTTATTAACATTGCATAGGCACGTCTGACAGAAGGTGATGGGGATTGAAGTAAAATCTGAATCATAATTGCATTATAGGATTCATTTAAGCCCATTAAGAACTGAAAAAGTTTCTGTTGCTCCAAGTGTTCGATAAAATCTCTAGTTCCAGCCGTAACAGGAAGAGAAGGAATCATGGAATTATATTCATCCCAAAGTGACTTAAACCTAGAATGATATACTGAAATGCTAGATGTACCTTGAGAAATGGTGGCTATCTCCCTCTGAAGGTTGTAGATCCTGGATCCTGTAACACTCCTTAAACTTATAAAAGTTTTGAGACACGCTAACTATAGAACTAAATTATTACTATTTTTATTATTTTTATCTTGCCTATAGTGANAAGTGGGTATCATTAATTATTAGTTAAGTAAAAAAAAAGAAGAGAAATTAACCTAAAGCCCATAAAGGGGCTGTTGTAAACAAAGGCTTAAAGTCTTATACAAAGAAAAAGAGAGGAACGTATCTGTCTTTCAAAAGGCAAGATAAAAAAAGGCTAAAAACAAAAAGCCTTAAACAAGTCACTGCTAAGAACTCTTATACGAACAAAACAGAAGTTTAAACCTTCAGTTCTTTCACGCAAATATTATACGGAAAAGAGAAACAGAACGCTACAAAACAGAGCAGAGGCAGCCTTGCTACTCAATACTCACGTAGGCAACAGGAAGTTCTAAGGTTCTTTACAAATCACTAATTCTTGAACTTAGGTATATAGAATTCCCTATTGTCAATTATCCTATAGTAGTATTAGGTAAGAATTGAATAGTTAATCCCCTTCTTTCTCTATATCAATAATAAATTTCATGTTTAGGTGTGAAACTTTAAAATTAATTAAAATGCACTGGTTGTTGTAGAATCGGTTGTTTGACTGGTGTCACTGGGGCCTACATATTGGCTCGAGAAGTTTTGAGGTAAGTCGATATAACCCTTTGTTAAAGTGGTTTAACTCACAAAAGCACGCATACAAAGTGTTTGATCAATTGCATAAAAGAGTTAATATATACTTAATTGGAGTAGGTAAGAACCTATTAGCTTAGAATTATTTTTTAGCTAATTTTTAGATGATCATTTTAATATATGTGCATAAATTCTCAGATTTTTGTGTTATTCTTATATGCCATTTTCATGTTGAAAAT